TGTAAATATTCATTTCCACTAGGAGTTACTCTTATTGTAAAAGCAAGTGTACCAAGAGATTTGTACTGTTACAGGCCAACAGCACTTTTTTAACAGTATAAAATATGGGCAAGTGTTTTTTTTTATGTAAATAAAAGTATTATAGATTACAGTATCTGTTCGGGAAATAAAATAAATAACACACAAGCGTTTGTGAGTAACAGTAAAAATATCAACCCTCCTAAAAATACTGTTTCCCTTGGCTAACACCTTGGCTAAACAGTATTTTCCTTGGGATGATATTTTAACTGTAACCCACAAACCCATGTGTTATTTATATACTACTCCATAAGCAGTGTGACTCAATCAATATTATATACTCAATAGCTTTTTGTTGATTTGCACATGTGTCAGCATTTGTACTTGTTGTACTTTACCTATCTGGCAGTAGTTTTGTTTGTTAATTTGTAATGTTTGAATTGCTCTTCAACATTTACAACTGTGTATTTGCACATGTGAGCATCAGCTGTTTATAAGAGAGACACTGAGCTGTTTGGTGTCCAATGACTGACTGAATTTTGAAATTGTAGTTTTGTGTTTTTTCCTGACATGCCACAATTATGTGCACTACAAAAATAGCCAGTTCTAAGCAACCTTTTAGAAAAGAATTTTACCACCTAAAGATTTTTACCACCTGTTTCTCAGTCTCTATCTCTAGAACAGCAGTGAAATGTACTTTCACTGTATTTTATAGGTTGTTTGAAATGTTCAATTCTATTTATAATATGAAAAAATATCAGTTTGACAGCAGCATGTACAAAAGATCTTAGAACCTCGTGAAGAAAAAAGCCCTTATATCACATATTAACAGCTATTTTTCTGAAATGTTCTGCTTTGGAAGTGAGTTAATTTATACAAGATTTCTTAATTTGTTTGTTAAATTCATTCTTACATATTTTGGTCAAATTCCTACTTTTTATCTAAGATCTTAGAGTAAAGGTTACCTTTTTCCAACTCCTAATTATCACAGGATAATAATATTAATTATTCAAATAAAGTTCAAACACTTATATAGATGGTTATACAAAACTTTTATTTCAAGTAAATCTTTAAGGAAAGAAGAAGATTTTAGAATTCCGGAAATGGGCACATATATGGTAGATATCTTAGTATAATCATAGGAAAACATGCACAGCAGATGTGATAATGAAAATTATCGAACCTTTATCAGCGTACAGTTATTTTATCGCACCAAAATCCAACGTACACTTCAATATTATGACAAGTAAGCGTCTATGTATATCGGAGCACAAAGGTACTTGCTATGCAACTCAATTATGATTACTCTTATAGAATAAAGAAGAAAAAGAAATTAACTATATTAATATTAGCTTGCATTAAGCGATTTGATGTTATTCACCGACCCAAAATTAGTTGCCGTCAGTTTACCTTCAACTTTTTTAATTATGAAATTCGGCCTCTGTAATTTTGATGAAATGTGTGTCGGTCCTATCTTCACATCCTTAAAACAAAATATGCAATTGTAATCCAAGATTTATGAAATACTTAATAAAAAATACTCACTGTGACGTGTGTTTACACGGGTAAATCCGCCATTAGGGCGTATCGCATGAAATCACCTCGCTTAAAGGAGTATCGCACCGCTATACGTTCGACCCCCTGTAGCTTATTGGTTTGACTTTGCTAGTGACAATTTAAGCGCTTTTGCATGGAAGGAGTAAGAAAACAGAATCTCTTCAACTTAATCTAAGTATGTTTCATTGCAAGTATTTTCTTACAAAGAACAGTGTTGAACAGTAAATATGTTATTTTCGTCATTCTATAGATTTTGCTATACAAAGCTGTTTTTATATTGCGAAAATTAATTAAAATCAAATTCTAATTGCTTGTCTTCAAAGTCGATATCTTTACGATTCTTAATTGCCAAGCAATGTTAATCATTAAACATGGTAACGTATTAATGGTTTATTGAATAGATATATTCAGCATACGATTAAGAGTATTTGCGTAACCATATTTTTTAAGGATTTCACGTTAATTTGTATTTTACAAGCGTGAATTTAACAAAACTATTAACGAGGCCCTTAAAAACCATGCGTTTGACAATATGTTTACAATAATATCAATGTTATTGTACTAGTTCTTGATATATCTTGAGTGTATATTTGTCTTGCTTATATTTTATTGCTTATTCTTTAAACTATTCAACAATTTCTCATCAAACAGAAATGTTCAGCAGTTATGAGCCTACCATTTACGAGACTCATAAAGAAGGCCGCCATCTGGTTTACAATTAACAAAACAAGAGCCCGGTTTGAGCCGGGTGATGCCACCCGAATAGGTTTTGGACACAGGAAAGTACACCTCTTGTAGTTTCAGAGTTCTGTCCCTGGAAAAAGTTCAAAGTGCAATAATTCCAAAATGAGGCAAGACAGAGTTACTGTTCTTTGCACTGCACTTCTTATCAATGTGATCTATCAACCTACAAAGTTTCTTGTTGATATCTCTAATGGTTTCCGAGTTATGTCCCGGACAACTTCAAAAAGTAAAAATAAACAAAGGGCAATAACTCCAGAATTAGGCACGACAGAGTTATGATTCTTGTGCACTGCACATCTACCCATTGAGATATATCTACCAAAGTTTCATGTTGATATCTCTTATAGTTTTACAGCTATGTCCTGGACACGATTTTTCTAAAAGGGGAGATAATTCAAAAATGAGGCTTAACAGAGTTATGGTTCTTTTGCACTGCAATTCTACTCAATGAGATCTATCTACTTACAATGTTTCATCTTGATATCTTTTATAGTTTTAGAGTTATGTTCCGGACAAAGTTCAAAGTGTTAAAATAAACAAAGGGCAATAACTCCAAAATTAGGACAAAAAGAGTTATTGTTCTTATGCACTGCACATCTACCCATCGAGATCTATTCACCTACAAAATTTCATGTTGATATCTCTTATAGAGTTATGTCCCGGACAAGACTTTTCTATAAGGGGAGATAATTCAAAAACCGGGCAAAATAGAGTTATGGTTCTTTGACACTGCACTCCCCCACAATGCCCTCCACCACTGTATGAAGTTTAAACAAATTATCTCCAAAGGTTTTCAAGTTATGCTCCGGACAGACAACGGACGGACAGACGGACGGACGTTCCAACATTTTGGGTTTAGGGGCTATTTTCTTTGTTATTTTCTTTGTTTTCTTAAGGGTTACTAGCCCATAAACCCTTTGATCACGGAATGAACCTATTGTTCTCTTTTGTTCTCTTTACTGTTATATAGCCCCTAAACCCAAAATGTTTGCTCGGACAGACGGACAAGGCGCCGACTATATGCTCCCCCGAAATTTTTCGGGGAGCATAAAAACTGGTTCCCGAGTTTTAAAGAATATTTTCGATGCGGATACCACGGCGAAATAGTCAATAAGTGTGGTACCCGTATTAGCCAAAAGTCTCTATTCATCGAATCGGGAACTAGTGTTTTTAATTGAAAATTGTACACTAGTCAACGCACTTCCGTTGCGTTAAAACATGGCGGCTGCGAAACCTTGTAGTATTTTATATACAAACTATAAAAAATTTTTTTGAAAGAAATTATAATCATAGAAGGTGCCTATGATTTCAGATACATAGTTTACATAGATTCATTTTAATAGAATGGGATATGATTATTCATGTATAATGAATATAAAGTATAAAATACATGTATTTTACTTTATCTAGATACCTTATATCAGTTTAAAAATATAATATACAATGTTTTTGGGATATTTCACTCATTTTTTTACTATTTTCAGTTCACTTGTGTAAATATTGTTAATATGGCACACTCTTGCTAAAAATATCTTCTCGATTTAATAAATAAATATAAGTTAATCTTAAATAATTATAAATATATTATTCAAAGTACATGTATTAACATTTCTGAATGTCAATCCATAGCATCTGGAGATTGGGTCACTTACGGGACAATTGAAAAATCATTTACGAGTTTTTAATAAATTGTCAATATATGAGATGACGTAAATTATTTCACATTTGACAGTTGAATAATAAATCAAGAATTTGTCAGTAACAGCACATTTTCTAACTTGGCCATTGTATAGATCTGTGGATTTTGTAACGGAAGCATGATCGGTATAAAATGCATTTCCACGTGTTGTTTTTTTTAAAAAGAAATAGTTTGTGTACTTTTAATAATTGATTTGCATTCACAGATGTTCGTATAGTTAGACGATAGGCAGTTTATTCTAAGAGATCAATTAAAATCGTCATACCAAATGCGCAAACTTTAAAACCATTGTCTCGAAAATGAAGATTTTTTTTCTGGTTCTATAAAACCTGTCATAGGTAAAAATCAAGGACATATGAACTGGTAATATTTTACATTTAACATGTCGAGAAACTATTAAATTTTATTTTGAAATGGAATAGAATTTAAATATACAAGACAGTTCATTTTTCAATTCTAGAAATCATGAAGAACTGAGAATGAGTGTTTAAAACTTATTTTAGAGTCGTTTTAATTTCTTTTATAAACTTCTTCAACACTTAAAGTTTAGGCCATAGGGTGGTTATGCCGCCTACTTCACGCCGCTAGGCCGCAAGATCACGCCGCTAGGTCGCCAACTTCACACATTTACCAAAATAGACTTGCATACATATTTAGTATCATTCGGGTAATTACTGAAATCAAAATTTATAGGTCACCTTTCGGTAGATAACCTTATGGTAACATGCCCGGGGTCCGTACTCTCAGTGCCTGATTATTCTCATTCCTTTGATGTATACTTTAATACGAATTGTGACCTTGACCTAGAGCTGAGAAACCTCAAACTGACACCCTGCCCCGCACATCGTCTCATTATGGTTATTATATCGCTCAAGTACTTTTCAGGTCATGATATACACAGCGAACATGAAATTGCTAGCCGGCGGACGGATGACCAAGTGCGTAACATTATTTCAGACCTATAACAAATCAAAATGCTTGCTTCTTTCGAATTTTTAATCAAGCAAGCAACAGCAGTAAAATGCATTGTATGTATTTGAAAATAATATTTCCAATTCTGCCTGAATATGTTTATATGTGGAATAGTCTGCCAACCATCATGATAATAATGACTGTCACTGCACATTGCTTAATCTGCTGCTGTGATGAACCTAAAACAGTGAAACAAAAAGTAGGGTAAGTTCTGATAGAAATATTAAAAGCTTCAATTGAGAGAAAAAGTAAAATGCATGTACAGCAAGGCTGATATGGTAGTTCAGTGGTATATGAAATCAAGAATATTATGATGTAAATAAAATACCTAAGGGAAGATTTTAATTCCATCCGCTTTGATTTTGACCAGCAGTTAAACAATGTTTATTATTTCAAAATATTATGCTTTTATTTTTACAACTTTTAACATCATAGGAGGTAATAAGTCACATAAGGGATTAGAAAGAACGAATACGTGAGAATAAGGACATTAATTGAAGTGCATATACTATTGAAGCAATTTTATTTCACTTGCTTATCACCATACACACTTACTTTCGAAGAGATAGAGGTATTCTAGTCCGACATTGGGTGGTCCTATTACCCTGAATGAAATTGTTGTTGTTTTTTTAATCGTATCTTTGACACCACGAGAGAACCGTTCATCGTGATTCGAGCTCTCCATATCACCGAAATACCGTTTATCGTGGCTGGGTGCGGAGATTATCTCCAGATAGTCACTGCGTGAAGACTTGTTATTCACACTCCTCCTTTCTCTTTCCGGACAGGTCTACAATTACAAATTTATGATAGTAAAAATCGTTCCTCCTTAAGAAGTATTATAATGGCAAAACTTTGAACTGCATGTTATGGTAAAGTCATTCTACCCATGTTGGACTGATATACGAAAACAAAAAACAAAACTTGTTTGATTAACACAAAAAGCACAAATGCCTCCGACTCAAATTATTGTCAGTAACTAATTTTCAACAGAAGTTACCCATTCACTCAGTTATGGATGGAAAAATTGCTAAAAAAAACTGAAAAATTGTAAACACAGTTATATAACTTGACAATTATGACAATCTTATTAAAATCAGTACTTTATTAACGGTACGCATTATGTACAAGAAATGACTTAAGTAGATGTGAACTTAAGTCAGATTGCAGTAATGACCTTTTGTTATATATATACATATGTAAATGCAAGACATTGACCTTGAATATTCCACCCAAACTTAAAGGAGCATGTTCCTTCCAAATATGAGATATTTGTAAAATAATATACAACGGCCGTATTAAAAAAGTGTAAAAAAATCTATTGTTATCAAAGGTGACCTTGGCCTATGTGACTCCCAACACTGGACCAGCCAAGTTATGTTCCTTCAAACTATGAAAAACATCAGTTAATATATAAAGTCTGTGTAAGCAAATGATTATAAATCTATTTTTGGCACCATTACCCACTGACTCCTTACTCAATCCAAAGGAAGGGAAGAAGAACATGCGAGTTATCTTCCCACTAAATATGAAAAACATCAGTCAATAAATAAAGGCAGTATAAGCAAAAGTGTAGAAATCTATTATTGGCGCCCTTAAACTTGTCCCACATACCCCTTACTCAATCTAAAGGAAGAAGCAAGTCATCTTCCGACTAAATATGAGAGACATCTGTCAAAAGATAAAGGCTGTATGAGCAAAAGTGTAAACATCTTTTTTAGCACTGGTGACCTTGACCAACTGACCCCTAACTCCATCCAAAGGTTTATTAGATTTATTTTCCTACCAAATATTAAAGACATCGGTCAAAAGATAAAGGTAACACCTGTCAAAGTGAAAAAAGCTATTAATCGCAATGGTGACCTTGACATTGACCAAAATGATCCCAAACAAAATTTGAAAGAAGAGGACCTTCCTAGGCATCTTTGTATGGAACATGAAAGACATCAATTTAAAAACAAAGTTTGTATGAGCAAAAATGATATTTTAGACCAGTTACCTTGACCTTAATCCTAATGACACCTAACTCCACAAAATATCAGAGGACATATCCACCTACCAAATATGGAAGAAATGATTAAATAAAGGAAGTAATTAGGAGAAATCTATCTAAGATAAATCCAACTTGCCAGAATAAATTAACCACGCCAGACCTATTTTCAAAGTGATAAATAGGGAAAATACTTGGAAAATCAATCGCACTGTTAGTTAACTTGGCAATTTTATGAACTTCGTATTGATATAAGTTGCAAGAACTTATTTCGCAACAAGTTGTTTTCTCAGATACTTTTTCAGTTACCATCCGGACAAAATGTGGGGCGAACGGACGGACGGAGGCTATTACTATATCCCCCACCACCTTAATCATGGAGGATAACAACCCAGCAAAACAATGCAAAAACAGTTTCCTTCATTCCTATCACATGATGATATGCTTCAAATAAAATAATAAGGCTGCTCTCATTTTGTTTCATTCTCCGGGGATCGCGATTCATTTATCACATACTGAATCGTGAACTGCAAATTTTATTAGTAAAGAGATAATTTGAATAACATGTCATTTTAACTTAGATCTTTTCACCCTAGCAAATCTTTGCTATCCATGCTGGGGTCGAGGGCATCCCATCCATAAATAAGTGGATTATGACATGATTAGTTTAATAATGTACAGTAACATTGTCCCGAAAATAATATGTACTCATACATACCATAGCAAATTGAAAATTGTAGCAATGAGTAAACAAGAGCACAGCATGCTCGTCTTTGAGTTTTGACAAAAATTCTAAGCTAAAAAGGGACATAACTTCAAGAATATCGCTTTCAGAATTATGCTCATTATCTTACAATTACCTATTAGTGTTTAATTTTTTGAGTAATGGGCTATATATAAAGTCGTTGCTCGATGATGACGACGACATAGCCATAATTATAGCTCAACTCCGAAACAGACGAGCTTAAAATTTGTTCATTGTATATATCAGTAAATGATGCCATTATTTCTCATCAATGTACATCTATATACAGAATTTGAAATTCCTGGGTCAATTCAGATTGTTTAAATGTTTCTTTTTGTAGATCCCGGTGATTATAATACTTTTAACCGTTTTTACTAAAATGGGCATGGCAGAGAGCTCATCAAGATACATTTCTACATGTATAGTTTTTAAAGTAAAATCTTCTATAAATTAAAGTTAATGACCGTCAACAAAAAACAACCAAAAATGTAAACCAACACCTTCGCCAACGAATGGGGTTTGACGGTAGCTTTATATTTTATTCGAAAGTGGGTCAAACACATTGTAAAACAATAACATAAGTTATCGCAACCCAACAGAAGTTTAAATGGAAATACTTTCAAATTCAATCTGCATTTTTTTGGGGGGTATATTAACAGAGTACCTACAAAGTCGCATGCTGTACTTCCTGCTGGACATCCTTTAACAGAACACACTATCTCGATCATATCACTGCCAGGAAACCGGAAAGCCATTATATCTGCAACCATCATATGTGTGATATTTTCCGTGGCAAACTGGAAGTCAGACACCAGTTCGGTATTCAAACTGCATCTATTAAATATATTTAATATTAAAACAAGAGCGTCGCAAAATCCGGGCAATATACGCCGTGAGGAATAGCAGATAAATATTCAATAAGGGAAAATGTCAAATTCATGAAATTCAAGTTGTATCTACCTTAAACATATAACAAATGACAAGATACTGTTACTAAGTTTTAAGAGTAGTTATACAAGTTGTCAGCTACCTAGTTCTACATTTGAGCCGTGTCACGACAAAACCAACATAGTGCGTTTGCGACCAGCATGGATCCAGACCAGCCTGCGCCTCCGCGCAGTCTGATCAGGATCCATGCTGTTCGCTATCAGTTTCTCTACTTGTAATAGGGTTTGTAAGCGAACAGCATGGATCCTGATCAGACTGCGCGGATGCGCAAGCTGGTCTGGATCCATGCTGGTCGCAAACCCATTATGTTGGGTTTGTCGTGACGCGGCTCATTTATTTTCCACATAAGTAAAGATAAGCCTTAATATATTTCTGAATCGAAATGTTTCCACATACCTGTGCATGCTCTTATTAACATTTCTGTCAACAAGTTTTAATTTCCTAACAATTACGAACTGACAATGAACTCCTAATTGCATACGTAAGTAAGGGTTACCGTTTCTGCAAAGCATTGTTCAAGATATATTTTAGTTGGGCTTTTACGTCAACTTTACAGTGGAGAAAGACCTCAGGTGCCCTTCCATTTTCCAAGCACGAACAGGCACCTGAGAGGAAACAGACGTTGCATAAGCTAATGGGATAGCTTCCTTACATGAAAGAATCCAAAACCCCTATCGGGACTCAAACCCACAGCGATGAGTCGCAAGTTTGATGTCAACGACCTTGACCACTCGGATACGGACGTCCTACCTAATGGTTCATAGGCATCGACATTATATTGCGTGAAGCGGCAAATACTTTAATTTTTCACATCAACACATTAATTGGATGGTCATGATAATTTATGTTTAATTAGAATTTTATTTGTTTTATTGTAAAAATGATTTAATTAATGCACGTTTAATAAGAACAAGTATTTTATATTATATGATTTATTTTTTAGTATTTCTTCAGCATTCTCATTCTGATCTCCTCGGCTATTACGCTTCAAACAGACTCGTATCCGGAGTATACGGAAAGAGCCGATGCTTCAAATTTTATCTTTAAAAAACTTACCCCATTTGAATTATGTCCATTGAAAACTGAGATCCTAACTCAGTTATGACTCCGGAGTAAGCTGTACAGTTTAAAGGCTGTATAATATATTGTTCTGAAAATGTAAAATATTGTTATCTTAGTAAGAAAAAAGTGTACATTCATAATAAAATTCAATTGTAAATTGTTTCTTTTTAAGTATTTTTGAAGAGGACTACATTTGCTACATTTAACAAAAGAAGAATCTCTATTATAAATATAAAAAAATGATGTTGTCACTAGGATTTTTAGAAATTTTTAGAAACAGTTACCTCGAATTTGACCCTAGCAATACCAAGTGAAGAAATTATAATATCTCATTCATGAATCAAGTTATCGTTCTGGACTGTTCTTTTATTTTTATTAACAGTGACCTTGACTTTGCCCCAAGGGGGTCCAAAAGCATTTCAAAACGAGGTCTTCATATAAATTCGCTTTATACTAAGTTTGATAAGTTATCGTGCGGAAATCATTTTTCTATTATTAGTTACATTGATCTTGACCCTACAGGGTCCAAATGCGACCCCAAGCTAGGTCACTTTATAAGTTTGCTTTATACTAGGTTTGACTATAATGTTTCATTCTTAACCGGAAACCATTTTCCTTTTTTAGTAACAGTGACCTTGACTTTGATCAAAGGGGGTCCAAAAGCAATCTCGAGCGATGTCTCCACATACGTTTGCCAAACATGAAGCGTGGTTATATCATTCCATTCCAAACTCAAGTTATAGTCCGGGAACCATGAAGTGGACCGTCAGAAAGATAGACGTATGGATGGACGTACCGACCGACCGACAAGCTCATTCCTATAGTTCCTTCTAAACTTTGTTTGTGGGGTACAAAACTGTCCATTGTCTAACAAATGAACAGAACCATGATTACCACTATTCTAAGTTTCATGTTGATACCATTCATAGTTTCAAAATCATTCTACTTAATAGGCACTTTTGACAAACATAAGAAGTTTAAAAGTGGCATTACCCCTAAAATATTGCTTTCAGAATTGTGAACCTGTCTTACAAGACTAATCATGATTTTAAAGTTATCTAAGTTTAGAGTTGATACCTTTTAAATTGTCTGATAAATAGACTATATTAAAGTTATCACACAACGACGACGACGACCCAGCGATAAAAATAGTCGAAACAGACGAGTTAATAAGCGAAGTTGGAAAATAAATGGACATTAGATAAACAAAAACTAGAGCTTTCACTACAGGTGATTAATATCCCACCAGGAACATTGACTTTTTGAAAAATAAGTGGTCTGAAGAAAAATTTGAACCCTATAATTTATGAAGTTTCAATTATGTACAAAGAAAAATTCCAATCAATTGCAATCCCAACCATATAAGGTTGCTAAATGCTAAATTTGATTATAATATATCATTCCTAACCTAAGGTATTGTTTGAAAACCATTTTTCTATTTTAAGCAACAGTGACCATTGACCCAAGGGGGGTCCAAATGCAATCGCAACCGGGGTTTCCTCATAAGGTTGCTAAATACAAGGTTTGCTTACAATAAGTAATTTTAAACTAAATGTCATCGTCATCGAAAATCATTTTTTATTTTTAGTAACAGTGACTTTGACCCCAAGGGGGGGGGGGGTCAAAAGCAATACCAGCCGGGGTCTTCATATAAGCTTGCTGCATAAAAGTTTGATTACATTATCTCATTCCAGTCTCTAGTTATTGTCCAGAGACCATTTCTCTATTTTCAATCACAGTGACATTGACCTTGATCCCAGGTGGTCCAAAAGCAATACTCCGGGGTCTTTATATAAGCTTGCTATATACTAAGTTTTATTACACTATCTCATTCCAAACTCTAGTTATTGTCCGGGTTTTAGTAATGGTTGCATTGACTTTACCCAAGGGGTGAAAAAGTAATATCATACGGGGTCTTCATATAAGCTTGCTATATATCAAGTTTGATTATAATATCGCATTCCTAACTCTAGTTATTGTCCAGAAACCATTTTTATATTGTGGTAACGGTGACTTTGACCTTGACCCAAGGTGGTCCAAAAGCTATATCAACTTGAGTTTTCATATAAGCTTATATATATACCAAGTTTGATTATAATATCTCATTCCAAACATGGAAACCATTTTTCTTTTTAGTAACAGTAACCTTGGCAGTTAACCAGGGGGCTCCAAAAGCAATACCAACCGGGGTTTCCATATATGGTTGGTGTGTACCAAGTTTGATTACAATATCTCCTTCGAAACTATAGTTATCGTCCGGAAACAACGAAGGAGACCGACGGACCGACCGACAGTCTGACCTTAACTTTGTTTGTGTGGATATAATAAAAATCATAGTCAGACGCTAAGGAGAAAAAATATTTTAACAGCAAAAAAGATCAGAGCGTTTTATTTTTGTCTTTGGGCAACCTTTTATATGCTCCAGCTTGATTTATCAAATAAGACGCCTTGGTGCCAGTTTATAGGAAATAGATAGTGAGATATTCATTTTCTACTTTAAGATTCCTCACTGGACGAAATTTAAGTGAAAAACAAACATATTGTATATACTCACCAGGTACATACAATTTCCACCTTAACACATCATTGATTTCTAGGGTTGGCTCCTCCGATGGTAATGTAGTGACATTTTCAAATTCTGAATCAACAACGCCAATGTCGGAATTTATATAAACTTTAGGCGTTCTCTCAGGCTCACGTGATGTACTCATTCTAAAAATATTATTAATTGATATAATTCATAAATTATTAATTGATGTAATTCTAAAATTATTTATGTATGTAATACATTTATTTCATTATATATTTATAAATGAAATATTTAAGTAAGACTGTCTTAGTGACCCCCTGTATATTGCGACGTCCTATCTTAAGTGACCATTGTTAGGTGCGCCCAACAGTATTTACTATATAAATGGTCTGTATGTAGCGACTCCCTGTCTAGTCCGTATAACGACCATGATTTAGCGTCTCCTGTTACGCTATATAAGCCACGCAAAGCGACTTTTGCAAGGGGAGTAACTCGAATGAGGTTACCAAAAAAATGTTTTTAAGAAATTAAGATTAAAGCATATCTGAGGCATAGTTGGTCTTTAAGGAAATAAGAAAGTGAAATCAAGAGATGATGGAAGCAAGGCAAAAATAAAGTTAAGAACATAAGAAGGTGAGACCAATATGTGTACATGTTAACTAAAGGTTTCAAACAAATTAAACACCATTTTCTCCCAACAATTTTTAATAAAATTAATGTACATCAATACAGAATCCTAAACCTTTATTCATTTTTATTATACTGTATGTGTTTTATTGTAGATAGTGTAACTTATTAGTAAAATTGAATTTAAACAGTTTTTATTTTACAAACAAATTTATCAATAAACAAGAATCTGTGTTTGATAAACACAAATGCCCCCGCGCTCACTGTAGTCAATAATTTAACTTTAGAGAGTGAAGTAGCTAATTTGTATGGAAGAAAACCAATCATGTGTAGAATTCTGTAATTGGCACCCTTGACCTTGACCAACTGACCCCTACCTCTATCAAAAGGAAGAATATCATGCAAGTTATTTTCCTACCTAATATGAAATAAATCTGTCAATAAATAAAGGCTGTATGGGCAAAAGTGTAAAAAAATCTATTTTTAGCACTGGTGACCTTGACCCAACTGACCCGTAACTCCATCCAAAGGAAGAATATCATGCAACTTATTTTCCTACCAAATATGAAATAAATCTGTCAATATATAAAGGCTGTATGGGCAAAAGTGTAAAAATCTATTTTAGCACTGTTGACCTTGACCCAACTGACCCCTAACTCCATCCAAAGGAAGAATACCATGTAAGTTATCTTCTTACCAATTATAATACAAATCTGTCAATAAATAAAGGCTGTATGAGCAAAAGTGTAAAAATCTATTTTTAGCACTGGTGACCTTGACCAAACTGACCCCTACCTCCATCCAAATGAGAATACCTTAATTTTATGTTCCTACAAAATATACAAGACATCTGTCGATAGAATAAGGTTAATACACCTGTAAAAGTGTAAAAAAATCTATTTTTGACATTGGTGACCTTGACCAAAATGACCCCTTACTAAAGGAAAAGGAAGAGGACCTCCCTTGGTATGACTATTATAAACATGAAAGACATTAACTTAAAAATAAAGGCTGTATGAGCAGAAATGTTTAGATGTATTTTTTTACAAAAGTGACATTGACATTGACCTAGAGACGCCTAACGCCACAAAAAAATTAGAGGACCGTTAAAGGTATCCACCTACCAAATATGAAATATATCATTAAATATATTAAGTAATTAGGTGAATTTTTTGATAAATCCAACTTGGCGGAATATGTTAACCATACAAGGCCCTATTTTCAAAGTGATAAAAATGGAAATTACCGGGAAAATGGATGGCACATTTATATAACTTGGCAAAATCATGTACATTGTATTGATAAGTAAGTGTGAAAATTATTAAGCCATTAGTTCAGATAGACATAAGATATTTCCAACTTGCCGGTTTAGGTTAACCATTTTTCATTTTCTAAGTGCTGAAAAGGGCCATATCTTAGTGCAAATGGAAGCCATAATTATGTTACTTTCCCAGATCATATACTTTGTATGGATTAGTAAGTGTGTAAATTATGAAGCCATTGGTACAGGTAGAACTTAAGAAAAATCCAACTTGCCGTTCTAGGTTAACCTCGTACGGACAGACGGACGGATGGACGAACGGACGGACGGACGGTTCAATTACTATGTGCCCGGGGGCATAAAAATACATTTTTAATCAATATGTAATGTTTAATATATGTTTAATATAAATAAATAATATTACTAAACTCTAAGTATGGTACTATCTTGCTTTTCAACAAAATATTGGCAAAATGTGTTAATATATCCGAATTCTGTAGAGACTGTTCACAATGACTCCCTATCTATAATGACCTTTTAACTTTTCTCCAATCGAAGGTCACTGTAAACAGTTTTTACTGCATTGATTAGATAAAATGCCTTTATTCGTTTTTATATATATATATCAATATGTCGGTAAAGTCATTTATAGTGTGAATATCATAATAAATACAACACGCAATTATCATAGTATTGCAAGCAATCCATAAGTCCCCTACCGGTTAGAACCCCAGCAACATTCTGATTTCAATTTTACCAGTGAATGAATGACATGAATGAACTTAAATCTTTTGAGTTCTAAGTTTGTCTATTTCACAGTAATGTGTTAAGTTTCCCTACCTAGTAAGGCAATTATGTTTATACAACCTTGTCATATTATTACAATGTGGGATTTTAAAGTAAATCCTATAAGGAATGAAGAAGTTGGAGTAAAAAATACCAATTTCTCGAAAAAAATCTAAGTTCAAGGGGGACATAATTCTGGAAATAGTCTTGCTAGAGTATTTAACCTTCTCAAAAATGTTGAGTGATAATAAGAAACATATATATGAAGTTTGAAGTAGATACATTAGGAAATAAAGAAGTTATTTAAAAAAGACAACATTTTTTTTCATAAAAATTCTAAGTTCAAGGGAGGTAATACTGATAATTTTTGTGCTAGAGTTGTAAACCTTGTCACATATGATGTGGTTGATGACCAGAAACTTATATTTAAAGTTTGAAGTAAACACCTTAAGAAATAAGGAACTTATAGTGAAAAAGCTGAAACTAGAAATGTGTCCATAGGATACGGGTGCCCCCACCGCGCCACTGTTTTGTCAATCTTTTTACTAAGTCAAGGGAAATAACTCTACAAATACTGGATAAATCCACAAGGGAAACCCCAGGTGCAAATCTAAATATGCTGAGCAACCTGCCCATAAGGTTTAATGACTATGTCAAATCCTTTTTGAGTAACTTGCGACACAAGTTGAAAATTGCAAAATTTACTAAGTGAAAGGCAATTACTCTAAAAATACTGAATAAATCCAGACGAAAATACCTGGTGCACAACTGCACATGCTGATCAATATTATTGTAAAGTTACATGACTCTAGGTCAAATACTTTTTGAGTTACGTGCGTCACAAGTTGAAAATTGCAAAATTTTACTAAGTCAAGGGCAATAACTCTGAAAATACAAAAAATATCCACACGAAAATACCCAGGTGCACAACTACACATGCTGATCAACATTCCTGTAAAGTTTCATGACTCTAGGTCAAATACTTTTTGAGTTACATGCGACACAAGTTGAAAATTGCAAAATTTTACTGAGTCAAGGGCAACTACTCTGAAAATACTAAAAATATCCAGACGAAAATACCCAGGTGCACAACAACACATGCTGATCAACATTCCTGTAAAGTTTCATGACTCTAGGTCAAATACTTTTTGAGTTACATGCGACACAAGTTGAAAATTGCAAAATTTTACTGAGTCAAGGGCAACTACTCTGAAAATACTAAAAATATCCAGACGAAAATACCCAGGTGCACAACAACACATGCTGATCAACATTCCTGTAAAGTTTCATGACTCTAGGTCAAATACTTTTTGAGTTACGTGCGACACAAGTTGAAAATTGCAAAATTTTACTGAGTCAAGGGCAATAACTCTGAAAATACTAAAAATATCCAGACGAAAATACCCAGGTGCACAACAACACATGCTGATCAACATTCCTGTAAAGTTTTATGACTCTAGGTCAAATACTTTTTGAGTTACATGCGACACAAGTTGAAAATTGCAAAATTTTACTAAGTCAAGGGCAATAACTCTGAAAATACTAAAAATATCCAGACGAAAATACCCAGGTGCACAACAACACATGCTGTTCAACATTCCTGTAAAGTTTCATGACTCTGGGTCAAATACTTTTTGAGTTACGTGCGACACAAGTTGAAAATTGCAAAATTTTACTAAGTCAAGGGCAATAACTCTGAAAATACTAAAATATCCAGACGAAAATACCCAGGTGCACAACAACACATGCTGATCAACATTCCTGTAAAGTTTCATGACTCTAGGTCAAATAATTTTTGAGTTACATGCGACACAAGTTGAAAATTGCAAAATTTTACTGAGTCAAGGGCAACTACTCTGAAAATACTAAAAATATCCAGACGAAAATACCCAGGTGCACAACAACACATGCTGATCAACATTCCTGTAAAGTTTCATGACTCTGGGTCAAATACTTTTTGAGTTACGTGCGACACAAGTTGAAAATTGCAAAATTTTACTAAGTCAAGGGCAATAACTCTGAAAATACTAAAAAATATCCAGACGAAAATACCCCGGTGCACAACAACACATGCTGATCAACATTCCTGTAAAGTTTCATGACTCTGGGTCAAATACTTTTTGAGTTACATGCGACACAAGTTGAAAATTGCAAAATTTTACTAAGTCAAGGGCAATAACTCTGAAAATACTAAAATATCCAGACGAAAATACCCAGGTGCACAACTACACATGCTGATCAACATTCCTGTAAAGTTTCATGACTCTAGGTCAAATACTTTTTGGGTTACGTGCGACACAAGTTGAAAATTGCAAAATTTTACTAAGTCAAGGGCAATAACTCTGAAAATACTAAAAATATCCAGACGAAAATACCCAGGTGCACAACAACACATGCTGATCAACATTCCTGTAAAGTTTCATGACTCTAGGTCAAATACTTTTTGAGTTACGTGCGACACAAGTTGAAAATTGCAAAATTTTACTAAGTCAAGGGCAATAACTCTGAAAATACTAAAATATCCAGACGAAAATACCCAGGTGCACAACTACACATGCTGATCAACATTCCTGTAAAGTTTCATGACTCTAGGTCAAATACTTTTTGAGTTACGTGCGTCACAAGTTGAAAATTGCAAAATTTTACTGAGTCAAGGGCAATAACTCTGAAAATACAAAAACTATCCACACGAAAATACCCAGGTGCACAACTACACATGCTGATCAACATTCCTGTAAAGTTTCATGACTCTAGGTCAAATACTTTTTGAGTTACGTGCGACACAAAAGTGAACGGACGGACGGACGGAAGGACGGACGGACGGACGGACAAGGGTAAATCTAAATGCCCGCCACTAATGTTGGGGCACAAAAATTAAATCAGAAATCTTGAAATCCAGGCTATGTGTTGCCATAGCAACCAGAATTTTCAACATAGGAAGAAAAGAAAAAGATGTGCATAATCTGCAGACTGCCATCTACCCATATTTTATGTTTCATAAAAATATTTTCAGTACTTTTTGAGTTATCACTGGATCCAGTTTATGTGTTAAATTTGCCATATTTTCAGACTATTTGTTGCCATAGCAACCAGAATTTTTAACATAGGAAGAAAAGAAAAAGACGTGCATAATCTCCATACTGCCATCTATCCATATATCAAGTTTCATAAAAATATTTTCAGTACTTTTTGCGTTATCGCGGGATCCAGTTTTGTGGACGGACGGACTGACGGACTGACAGACAGACGGACAGACAGACAGACGGACAGACGGACGGAGGGTAAACCTAAAGTCCCCTCCGGTTAAACCGGTAGGGGACTAATAACATCATACACGTACGAATGACAGGTGTTGACATTTCAACTTTTTCAATTCTCGGGTTCATCTTCATGAATTCACAATTTCAACTTCACAGATTCATTATTTCAGGTTCACGAATTAAACTTCACAAAAAATTCACGTTTTGAACTTCACGATTTCAGCTTCGTTAATGCAGGATTTTAACTTCGTGACAATGAAATCTTGAATTCGTGCACTAAGCTGAAGTCGTGAATTCGTAAAGTTGAAATCGTGAAGTTCAAAACAAGAATTCATGAAGCTGTATTCATGAATTTGAAATCGTGAAGTTTAAAACATGAGTTCATAAAGTTGAATTCCTGACGTTGAAATCGTTAATTCATGAAGTTGAAATCGTGACTTCATGATGTTGAAATCTTGAATTAATCAAGTTAAAATCGTAAATTCACGAAGCTGAAATCGTGAAGTTTTCAACAAATAAATACTGCCCTTGAACAAGAAGGTCAAGTTGATTGCAACACATTCTCTCTCTTGAAACGAGAATGTCCATATCTTACTATATTCACTTAAAACAAAAGAGTATCTTGTAACCATTGGCAAGCGGATCATGTTATCGGGCTTAATTCATCTTTGAAAACCTTCTGTTTTAATAATGTTATTCTCTGATAAGGTATTTATCGACGAAGTTAAGGACATTTCAATTACGGGGATACTGTAAAAATACATAAATAACTTACACATTTCTAATCCACGTGCTGTCAGTGACAACGACAAGAATGCCGTCTATAGGGATGGTCATGCAAGTGATATTGTAATATTTCACATTGTTTTGTATTACATTAGGTATACCGGTATCGTACGGACTGAACACCAGCAATATTACATTGTCCTGTTACATGAAAAACAAGAAAACATTACATTCAATGTACGTATGTTTACTTTACTATTCTCTTTACACAATGATGACGTAATAAGAATTAAGTTGAAAAATAAACAATTAAAAGAGCTCCACTCAGGTCTGAGCAATTTGAAATTCTTACATAGATCAAATGAGGCTCTTAGAATAGAAGAATATGCAAAAGATAATTAAAAAATATACTCAGATATCAATTGAAAATTGTATTTTGTGCGTTGCAACGTTTTTCAATCAATCTCGCGTCATTATTCACAATTATTTTGCAATTTTACATACAACTTATTAGACCTTCTTTAAATGGATCATTAATCTCGAAAAATTATATCCTGTCCGTCAAATCAAAAAAACCTCTGTGGAGTCCTTTTAACATGACCCATCAATTAACAAACAACAGGCAATCTGCAACGTTTAAGCAGGAGCCTATTACACAATTGTCATTATCAGAAACACATAATAGTGCACTATTACCAGTTAGGATGATATGAAATTATTTAAAATGATGCACAAAGTGTAAGTGCTGTCTCTTCACAAGTAAGACATAATTATACAGTTTTAATTTAAAATCTAATCCAAATAAACTGCTATAATAAAGTTAACAAACCATTGTTTGTCAATTATGGTCACGTCATACCGGTATCCAATGTTTCAGTTAACAATAATTAATATACTAGTTAAGGTCAAGGACGAAGTATAGTTTAAACAGTGAACTTACAAGAGCACAACCGTCAATAGTGATCGCCGTCTTGTCGGAATTGAAAGCAGAGTTGCAGGTTCCGTTCACATTCGTGGCTTGAGCCCATATCAAACTTGAAGGGTCTGGGTTCACAGCTGTTATAGAACCGTTCACATAACATTCTGTTTCAGAGAAAAAAAGTGCTTCTATAAAGGTGTATATAATTTGATTTAATATTATTGAAAATTAAAAAAAGTAAATAACAACATTAAACCACAATACATTCATATCATTGACTGATCATTATGAATCTATTTATGAAACGGGCAAAAACAAAAGAAAAACATTTACTAGCGTAACCCCAATACAAATCAGCGGAAAAACAGAATTAAAATAGGTGTTCGATATGTTGGTGGATTCCTTTCACTTTCATGTTGTTAAATTTAATTGTTTTTGTCATGTCACATGTCGTTCTGTGGCTCTCGAGAACACGACAACACGACAGTTTACTAAATAAAGCTTGTTGGTGATAGAAAATGACAGTAAAGAAGACAGACACCGTACTTCGTAGCGGAATTTCAGACAAGAACCACAGGTCATCTGTGTGTTCATAATGTTACTCGATATAATAATACATGTAGCAATGAAAACTTAAACGTTTATATTCTAACTACGATTTGATTAGATTTAAGATAACCCTCACAAATCAATGCTGAAATAAGTGTGTTTAAAATACTATTTACATAAAATATCAATACAACGTTACTTAGAAGAAACAAGTTACAAACAAACTAGGTTAAAGTATAAAGTAAACATTTTTCTTACCGAAACTGAAGTAGGAGTCAATATCTGAAAACGAAAGTTATTGTTAGATAAAGAATTAAAAGTTTTCTAAGAAGTCATTGCTAGGACTAAAACTAAATGATATTTCTACATAAAAGTCGAGTTCGATCAAATTATAACTGTTTTATTGCATGATAAACAGGAATAAGAATTTTATTAGTGATAAAATTTCAATTTATATTGTGCTACCCTTAATAAACAAGATATGTTTGTAAAACATGTATGCCCCCTATGGGCAGCCAATTAGTCATGTGATCAGGTTATTATGCAGGACTTCTGACACAGTGAACAAAAAATTAATAAGGGTTATCTACTGGTCATGACTAGTCACAAGGTAATAATTATTGTGACCCAATAGGTTGTGTGCAGTTTGAAGTTCCTAGTCCTAAGCATTCTTAAGTTATTGATCGGAAACCGTTTTTACCTATAAGGTCAATGTGACCTTGACTTTTGACCCCAAAATCAATAGGGTTCATCTACTGGCCATGACCAATCACCATACCAAATTTGAAGTTCCTAGGCCTAAGCGTTCTTTATTCTTGATCGGAAACCGTTTTTACCTACAAGGTCAATGTGACCTTGACCTTTGACCCCCTGACCCCAAAATCAATAGGGGTCATGACCAATCACCATACCAAGTTTGAAGTTCCAAGGCCTAAGCGTTCTTTAGTTATCACTCGAAACCATTTGGTCGACGGACTGACAGACAGACAAATGCAAAGCAATATACCCCCTCTTCTTTGAAGTGGGGGCATAATTAAATTCCCCACACACGGAACCTCGGTTACTTTTTATGGTACATGTAAATGACCGATTTTTGTTTCTCCTTATTGTAAACGTGACGGAATTCTTAAATCAAATATGATAAGGCAATTTTCGTGAAAATGTTCGTAAAATAATTATACATGTACAAATAAACTAAGAACTAACCCGTGCAGGTTGGTAAAGTTCCATTCCACGTGCTGTCAGCCTGACAAGTTCGATTTGCTGTTCCGTCCATACGGTAGCCATAACGGCACGTGTATGTGGCTACGTCATTCAAGTTATGACCAGTGTAGCTCACCTTACCATTTGTAATAGCATCGGGAACAGGACAAGCTAAAAATGGCAGAGTTCATGATCCATAATTACAAATATAGAATTCTTTAATCTTCAACATACTCAACTAAAAAATGAAATATTGAATTACAAATGTTCATCAATAAATAAGCAATACTAAAAATGTCCCATATGAAACGTTTCTTTTATAATTTAAAATGTATTTTTAAATGAAATGCAAGTCCCATGAGAGAGATATGAGAAGGGAAGTAATCTATGCTTACAGCATGTGTTCAAGCACATAAAATAAGCACATTTCACTATGCTTGACAACGTTGAGGTTGAAAGTATAAATATCATTAACAATATCATTGAAAAAATATATGAGCCGTGTCACGACAAAACCAACATAGTGCGTTTGCGACCAGCATGGATCCAGACCAGCTTGCGCATCTGTCCATGCTGTTCGCTTACCAAATGTACTAAAGTAGAGAAACTGATAGCGAACAGTATGGATCCTGATCAGACTGCGCGGATGCGCAGGCTGGTCTGGATCCATGCTGGTCGCAAACCCATTATGTTGGTTTTGTCGTGACGCGGCTCATATAGTTATTATAATAATATCTAAAATGGTGACTGCCACTGAATCTATTTCTATAAATGTTTCAAATAAGGAGATCTTAAAAAAAATTGAAAGTAAAACTAGTAAATACTTTGCAGATTGAAAAGAATACAATGTAGTAAAATAACTAACAACTTACAGGCAACCGACCCTGTCTGCACACCGATTAGACAATGGGAGAACAATAGTATAATAAACACCAACATCTTCATTCTACTGAAAGTACAAAGTTCTAATTAAATAAAAATACAGCGATATTTGAAGTATACTTGGTTTAAACATATCAATTTAAGCTTGATTGCGAAACAAGTTCTTGCAATTTATATAAATCACTTTCTAGTCCGCTTCCCGGAACTAACCAGCACTGGTGGCATATGAAGAAATATGGTCGTGGCACGATTAGGGCTAGAACCAATGGTCCACGGGTTGAGAGGCAGACACCTCAACCACTAGGCCATCGCTTCCCTTCAAGTATACTTCAAATCAGGTCCAGCAATGATAATGGCTCGCACATAACACCAGTCAGGAGCTTTACGACTCAGTTTGACCAGCTCAAGTACATATACGCAGCAATTAATGAAATCGATGGTCTAGTGGCTATAGCTTATGACGTCTTACTCTCAACCCATGTAAAGGTGGGTTCGAAACCTAGTGATGCCACCATGCTTCCTTTATGGTACTAGTGTAGTTTATTTTGAACAACCAAACTGTCCTCTGCTTAATACACCAGCCATTTGTAATCTCTCCCCCCCCCCCCCCCCCATCTCCAAATTGGATGTAATAAAATGCTTTTACTTTTCAGTTTGTCACCGCATTACAAAGTCATTATCAGATTATAGTGATATAAGGAAGTTTTTCCACCTAAACAGCTAAATGTCCCATGCAAGTAAACAGGTAAAGGTTGCTTGTGCAAAAGTCCCAGCTACTCTCGAGGAACAGGATGGTGCACACATGCCTGATGTATTGCGTGTTTTGTCCATTATATTATACCAAGATGCCAGACTTTAATTTTATTTACTGCACTATTCCTACATAATACTATAACACGTAACAACACTGAACAATGCCATATGCTGTACTCTATCCAACAGACATGTCACGTGTGTAATTACAACTGCATTTTTCAGCTAATTATCTGCTACTTTAGAACAAACTCATTGCAAAGGTTTTGAAAAAAATAGTAAAAATAGAAATTATCTAAATGGATTGTTTAATAATTGTATACAACTTTACGTAAAGAATTCAGATATTTTACCTACCTTAATGAACTGGAAGTCCAACTAAATAAAACATTTTCAATATCACAGTCACGAGAAATTCGTGCAAATTTGACTGGTATAAAAACAGGGTTTTGTAAAACAAACATGAAAACGGAACGGGTTACAGTTACACGGCGGGTTATGTTACATAATTGTGATAAATTTTAATTTCCTAGAATTTCCGCAGATTTTCTCAGAACGCAGCCCCGAAAACCACAGCCACAAACGAGTCTGCAATATTCATATAATATTGTTGTTTTAATTGTTTCCGATACATCACCCCTTTTCCAGAATTTTAGTGGCGGAATGATCATTTTCTTTGCAATATCAACAGCATTTTGAATACAAAATCTGTGTCATATGTAAAGTATTCAAAGATTATTATTTCATATACATTTCGTATACATTCACATATGAGCCGCGTCATGACAAACCCAACATAATGGGTTTGCGACCAGCATGGATCCAGACCAGCCTGCGCATCCGCGCAGTCTGATCAGGAGCCATGCTGTTCGCTATCAGTTTCTCTACTTGTTATAGGGTTTTTTTAGCGAACAGCATGGATCCTGATCAGACTGCGCGGATGCGCAGGCTGGTCTGGATCCATGCTGGTCGCAAACCCATTATGTTGGTTTTGTCATGACGCGGCTCATATCAATTCTACATGTATTTCTAACTGATAACTTAAGTGTAAATGAGATCCTCTTCTAATTTAAACATAATGCTACTGAATGTTCACAAGGTAATTGACATTATATAATTATATAATTGATAAATAATCATGCTGTTATTGTCATATAGTAGACTTAACGTCAAACTCGAATCAGCTATCGTGTAAGTGTTTTAGCAATATAATCATCATATAGTATAGAACCCATATGATTTAATAGTACTTAAGTCTTATTTAGAGCTCACGCAAGTGACTAAGCATATTACTTAAGATATTACTATAATAATTGGGCCTAATATTTATTGCCTATAGAACTGCTCTTTG